CAATTTTCAGAAAGTTTTCGAAGATTTCTAGAAGGGGTCTGTTTTTAATTGGGATATTCCATTTAAAAGACGTAACCCCCCTATCGAGGACAATGGTTTTACCATATCTCTGAAGAACTCCTGACATAAAAGAGATCCCCTGAAGAATTCCTGTTAATTAAATAGCATTTACCCCTGAAGAAGTCAGCATTTACCCCTGAAGAAGTACAATTTTTACACCTGACCCCTAAGGAAATTGCATTCGAAATAACAAACCCCTGAAGAATTCCACCATAGACGGATTTTCGTTTTTTTACTGAGGTGGTGCCAGAAATTTTAGGGGGAGGGGTGAGCCGTGAGCAGGTGACTGAAGCAACACAAAGTGTCACCAAACCCCAGTAAGGTCTATATTCTAGGGGTGGAGCACTATAGAGCTGCGAGGGGGAGTCTAGAGAGCAGAAAACAAAGTATCCCAGGAAAAATTTGAAAAAATCATGATTTCTAGCTTTGAAAAAGTTTTTTGAAGTTGTCATATCAATGGATTTTTAAAGATTAAATCTAGGCAAGTCTATTTCCTAAAAGAATTAAATTAAAGACTAAAATAATGTTCGTAAAAATTCCAAACGTTCCTTGCAAATAAGCTATTTGCATGGCAAGGCACTGCAGGGGAGATAATAGAGTTTCAAGACTTTACAATTGCTCCAATAAACCAGTGAATGCAAGCGAGGAGCGATTAGTTTCAGAGTATTGCACCATCTTTTTCTATTTGAGTGTACTCCTACATTTATTTTGTATCATCAACACTCTGCACGTTGGAGTGGACTATTTAATTATTTTTTATTATGCCGAATATTGGGGGGGGTTGGAAAATTTTTTTGGAGGGGTGAACATTTTGTTTGGGGGGGGGTTATAGCTAATATTGGAGGGGTAGCATCTCCCCCCCGAAAATACGTCTATGAATTCCACAGGAGAATTTGTTTACCCATGAGGAATTTGGGAGTTAAAAAGGGAGGTTCTGGATATTAAATGGAATAGCCCAATTTTCTGGAAAATTTCCTGGTTGTTTTCCCTGCAGCTTGTTTATAAACATGATGATAATTTTCCAGAATTCTTGTCTGGTTCAATAGAAATTTTATTTTCCAAAGTTTTAAAATAAACGGAAGTGCAGATGTACCCAAAACAGCTGGTTAATTTTTACCCACTGGTAGCACTAATCAGCTAAAGCTTTGAACCACTGGCCCCAGGGGCCAGTTGTTCAAAGCTGGGTTAGCTTAACCCTATTTTAACAACTAAAATTCAAAGCAAACTTCCTTTATCAGTCGAAAGTGATTATTTAGAACTGAATTTATAAAAGTGGTGGGAATTGAACCCGCGACTTTTGGGATACTAGTCCAATGGTCTGCCAAGTGAGCTATGTGATCAAGTCGGTTCGAGTTGATGATATTTCGTAACCGAGTCTAGTTCCTTCGATCATATCATAGAATACACTGATATCGAAAGAACTAGACTTCCAAAATATCATCAACCGACTTGACCATGTAGCTCAGTTGTCAGAGCATTGGACTAGTATCCCAAAGCTTGTGGGTTCGATTCCCACCATGGCCAAGCTAACTTTTCAGCTGGTGTGGATACACATTCAGAGTAACATTGCAAAGATCACAATTTTCAGAAAGTTTTGACGATTATTTTGGGGTAGTACACAGTGGTCCCCCAACCTAGGGTTGTCTTTACCAATGCCAATATAAATCTTATTGGCATAGAGAATTATACATTTGGCATAATAATTTTGTATGCTGCATTCATTCTATTGACCAATCGGGGAGATTCTTTTGTAAATACCCACACCAATCGGAAGTCTGTATTTTTATGCTAAAACAGAAATTGGCATCCCAGATACTAAATTATATTCAAATTTATATTCAAGTTTAGGGTATGTTGCAGCTCTATATCTTGCTGTTGCAAGTTGCTTTGCGTTTGATGTTTGTTCTGGGATAAAATATTGAATTATACCTTAAATTAATAATGTTTCGTGAAGTTTAGTTCAAATTAATAGAGAGATGAGTGCATAAAGTATTTAGGGTATTTTGAAGCTAAATTTGTTTTAAAATTCGTCATTTTAGTGAAATGATGTGGAACACAATGCGTTCTTTTCTACTCGTCCTGGTTGTTGTAAAGAGACATCGGGCATTGTAATGAATAGATGAAAATGTGTCGCTGGCAAACCTACACCATGTGCATTTCTTGGTGGATATCTTGGGCAAATGTGCAATGTGATGGATATCTTGGGCAAATATCTTTGTATAAATTGGTACAATTACTTACCTTAAATTACTAAAGAAGGATGATGTTTTAAGGTTAGTGGATATTTATAATAGTGATAAAATGGGGGTTCCCTGTGAATAGGAACGAAGTAAGGCTGTCCAATTAAGTGGAAACAATATTGCGGCGTGTAACAATTTAAGAGAGCTTGTCTGTAAAAATCGCAATAATTTACCATTTTCTGGCAGATATGAAAAACTGAAAGTTCTTCAATTTCCCTCGATTTTATATATATTGTAGACCTATCCAACCCCACATATTTACTGAAGTTTCAGCCATGAAACACAAAATGAAGAAAAGTTAGAGTACTTCAAAAATCGAACCAAAAATGACGCGAAATGTCCAAGAAATGTCGCTAAATAAAGCAGTAAACATCATGTGCTGTGCTGAGCGCGCATTATAAGTTTTGGTCTGCTGTTCCAATATAATGTTTTTAGAATATATGGAACTTTCTTGTGATATCTTTTCTCCATAAATCGAAATGTTATTGACTTGGTTATTTTAGATCAAAGATGGTTGAAATTTCCGGGTTCTCCAAACTAGCCAAAGTACGTCTTGGAAATCGCCTATTTAAAAATGGTCCTACTTTCTTTATAAAGGTACATATGCATAATTCGTTAGGGCTAGGATGTAGTCATTCGATGACGATTTCAGATGTTTGGGATTCTTTTGTGTCTTGGCGAAATTTGATCTTAAACATGTACAATATTAGCGTAATTGCGTGCTTGGATTTTATTAACCGGCGCGTTACGATTCCAATATCTTACACTTGTTCTATTCAAAAAGTTAACATGCTTCACTGTAAATGACACTGAGAACACAGAGTTTACTTCTTAATGATTTTCTTTGCATTCAAGTTACTTTGTCTACAGTATATGTGTCTATATATACTGCGCGCACGCACGTACGCACGCACGACCAAGCATGCATTTTAACTTTTTTCGAACGTAAAAAACATAGCCGCAGCCCCAAGGTTATATGGCTTTAAATTGCGGTGCCCGTCCAAGTTTGACACCGGCTTTACCGATTCTGTCTGTGAGTTTGTACGTTTATGCGGAATCACAAGCATATTTACTTGATGTAATCTCTAAGGTAATAATTATTTTTATTGCTGCTGACGCTGCATATTTAATTGTTTACATTTCCTATCGATACATTCATGTCGACTTGCATTTTATTACACATACTTTGAAATAACTTTTCTTACGTATCGATTCGACAACATAACAAATTTCCAATTTTCCGACGGGTTTCAACAATGGGGAGGGGGGGGGGGTCTGCCAATAGGGGAGGGGGGGCTTGAAATCCCGCTTCAGGACAAACTGTTGTCAATATGCAACTATTTATTCTGTCATGCACTTTAGTGTCGACGGTTTTGACTTTGTTTTAGGTTTGTCGCTAGAAGACACTAGGGCACCGGTTTGTTTTATAGGTTTGTCCCTAGAAGATACTAGGGCATTATAGAACTGTGTCTGGTTACATGTAATACTTTCCGTGCATTGTTATATTGTTTGTAAACAACAGTAGCACGTGCAGTCTCGCGACTGCCTGTTTTTTATGTCTGTAGTAAATGGTTCAGTTCAGTTTCAAGTGATTGCTGCAATACTTGTAATGAGCTGTACCAAATTAATATGATGGTAGAGCAGAAACAATTCTTCCCATTAATATTTTTGTCGGTGGAAGTTACATTACATTTGGTGATTGGGAAAACACTTAGACTCTTAGTTAAATATTTCCGTGTAATTTAAATTAAAACTTAATCGAGATAAAGCTAAGGAAATACGAAAAATACAATGGACTTACCTTTATGCTTCAAGAACTGTAACAAACCAATGTAACATAATCAGACAGTTTCAGTTGCAATATTAAACTACAGTGGACAATTAGTCTCGCTGCGTGCGTTTATTTACAACTGTGTTGAGAAAGTTACTTCCGGGTTTATAACAGCGTAGGTTACAAATCAAATAATATTTGATTAATAATAATATTATTTTATCTTGTAAACAATCTTGGAACTGTTTTTTTCTTTACGTGCTAGACCACGACATAATTCGTCGCAGGCACTCTAGAAACGATCACGCTTACCATCCTGCATTCTAACCTTTTTCAGCTGATTTTCCATTCAACGACAACGTTTTTATTTATATTTGTATAGTATTTGCATATCTGCATGATTGTGTTTTTCATAGTGTAAATTTGAGTTAATTTAAAAACGCATGACCGATATTTAAGAGTGAAGCGTGTGTTCTCAGTGACGACTACAGTAAACACAGAATCGTTTTGAAAAAAATTTAAGAAATAATATTCACAGTGTCACGCTCCAGTTAATACGAACCACTCAATGGGCAATTCCAGCTATAGATCATATAGACTAAATTTTGATCTAGGCAAGAAGAACAAAATCCATCTAGAAAGAGCATGTTAAAATTAGTAAAATTGCAAAGTTTGGCCGCGAAATGTTGCAAAATGAGGAAAATAATAGCAATACGAAATTTGCAAATTTTGTATACCACATTTGGGCCGAAAGTGGTGCAATTGACCACTTGCGCAATAGGCTAAATTTTGATCTCAACAAAAATTTCATCACAGCTTGAAAGAGCATCACAAAATTAGTAATATTCCAAAGTTTCGTTGCGAAATGTTGTAAAATGCGGAAAATATAGCCTTGCGAAGTTTGCAATTTTCAGTCATTTTAGATTACAAACGGGAAATTGACAGCCCCAAACCCTTCGAGGCTGTCAATTTCCCGTTTGTAATCTAAAATGACTGAAAATTGCAAACTTCGCAAGGCTATATTTTCCGCATTTTACAACATTTCGCAACGAAACTTTGGAATATCACTAATTTTGTGATGCTCTTTCAAGCTGGGATGAAATTTTTGTCTAAACTTGTTTAGATCAAAATTTAGTCTGTTACGCAAATGGTCTATTGCGGACAAATTAATACAAAATTTGCAAATTTCGCAGGGCTATATTTTCCTCATTTTCCAACATTTTGCAACCAAACTTTGTAATTTTACTAATTTTATCATGCTCTTTCTAGCTGTGCTGATGGATTTTGTTTTTCTTGCCCAAAATCAAAATTTAGTCTATAGCTGGAATTGCCCATTACGCTAATATTGTACATGTTTAAGATCAAATTTCGCCAAGACACAAAAGAATCCCAAACATCTGAAATCGTCGTCGAATGACTAAATCCTATCCCTAACAAATTATGCATATGTACATTTATAAAGAAAGTAGGACCATATTTAAATAGGCGATTCACAAGACGTACTTTGGCTAGTTTGGAAAACCCGGAAATTTCAACCATCTTTGATCTAAAATAACCAAGTCAATAAGTTTCGATTTATGGAGAAAAGATATCACGAGAAAGTTCCATATATTCTAAAGACATATATTGTAACAGCAGAGCAAAAACTTATAATGCGCGCTCAGCACAGCACATGATGTTGACTGCTTTATATAGCGTAATTTCTTGGACATTTCGCGTCATTTTTGGTTCGATTTTTGAAGTGCTCTAACTTTCCTTCATTTTTTGTTTGATGGCTGAATCTTCAGTAAATGTGTGGGATTGGATAGGTCTACAATATATATTAAAACGAGGGAAATTGAAGAACTTTCAGTTTTTCATATCTGCCACACATTCTGTGATTCTTACAGGCAAGCTCTCTTAAACTCTCTATTTTTGGCTTGAAAAACGCGCGACAGAGTAAAGTGAATAGTATTTATGTACTCCCTTGCTTGTTGCTTCCTGTTTGCTATCCAAAAATGGCGGCAAGATCTGGTCGGCTAATTGTCATGTTGCTTCTTGTTAGTTCGGTTGGCAGATTGTTGAACATCATTACTTCTCGGTTCGAACGAAACTCCGATAATTTCACATTGTAATAGGCGTACGAGATGGGAGGGGGGAGAGTTTAGTAACCAAAGGATATTCAAGCAAATGCGCGAAAAATCAACAAAATTTGGGCAAATATATCGGTAAATGTGTTAAATTTAGATTATTTCATAACCTTACAACTTCGGGCAAATGTTAAGTGTTCCCCGGAAAAGGCCGGCCCCGTAGGCTTATGCATTATATCAATGTTTCCAAATATAAACCAACAGAAAAAAGTGTACATGTCAAGCCGTACTTTTGGTTACCACTGGCTCTCGCCGTCTCGCGAGGAAAGCTAAACCTTAACTGCAACTTATTTAAAAAATTTGTTAAAATTAATTTAAGATTCTCACCTTTCAATTTACATGTTGGCAGAGGTTTACTCCATTGACCATTGTTTAAACACGTTGTCTCACTGGATCCAGATAATTCCCAGTTGCTATAACACGAAAACGTTCTTTTGGAGCCAGGGCTCATGCCAGATCCTTTCACATGTCCTTTCCTAATTTTTGTGATATTTGGACAATTCTTTGGTTGAGCTAAGTAAGAATATATACATATATATATATATATACATATATATATATATATATATATATATATATATATATATATATATATATATATATATATATATATATATATATATATAGCTTAAGATTTTGGTTTACGAAACACAAACAGTGCTCAATACCATATAGATGTTTTCCTTGCCAAACCTCTTACCTAAGTGATTTAAAATGAAAAGGCCTACCAGCTCACAAATTTCAGCGCCGTCGAAACTACCCATAGTGACGTCAAATAAACTGTTGCTTCCATCTTTTTTTGTCCATAATTTGCCGTTGCCGAAAAGTAGAGATTTTCTTGCATGTTTTATTATTGAAATATCGTTTTCGGTAATAGTAGTCAAATCCGAAGCCCAGGCCAATGCTTCATTCAAAAGTTTTTCGGAAATAGACGGGTAAAAATCCACAATATCAAATGAAATAAAACTGTGCCTGTCTTTATCGTTTATATTGCCAAACCATGAAATTACTTGTTGCGTATTTCTCCATTGATTTGAATTTAGTTTTTGTCTCAAATTGAAATTAATTTTATCTAAAATAACCTTACTTAGTTTTCCGGATTCGCTTTTTGCGGGATTAATTAGTCGGCATTTTGGATTGTTTTCGAAATTTTCTTTGTGATCTTTTAAAGATATAAATGCTTCGCGTTTTTTCATTCGTTCAATTCTGTCGCCAATTCCTAACTTACTCGAAAT